CTGCGGCTCCGGGGGCAGCGGGCCGCAGCTGGCTGCGTGCGCTGCTTGCGCTGCAGGGTGCGGTGCTGCGCTGAGAGGGGGGGTCCTCGGGGCGTTGATTTCAAGAACAACGACCCGGGGAATGGCTGCGAACCTAGAATGGAGTATAACCTTAAAGCAGTATAACCTCAAAGGCGTGCTGTGCGTGCTGTGCAGCCCTGCTGGGCGTGCTGGGCGCCACCATCTACGAGTTCTCCAAGGTTGACACGGGTGAGGAAGAAAGTAGAGCATGGGAGGAAAGACATAAATGTGTGGGAAGAAAGGAAGGGCCAAGAGCATTGACCGAGCGGCGGTGGGCGGCCCTCGCCCGCCTCCCATCACCCACCCACCCACCGATCCTCCTGCCCTGTCGCCCTGCAGTGGCCGCCCAGATGATGCTGCCCTACCTGGGCTGGGTGTCGTTTGCCTCGGTGAGTTGAGACCCTGCTTGTTTCGTGTGTCCCTGGCGCTCTGCACCCGCTTGCGGGCGCTGGGCAGGAGGCCTGAACCGCTCCTTGGGGCCTGTACCGCTCCTTCTGAGGAGCCTGAGGCGAAGGCAACAAAGCAAACTGTGATCCCCACAGGCCCTCACGTGGAACATCTACCTGAACAACAGCCAGGTGCGGCTCGCTCGTTGGGATGGGGTGTCGCTGGGGCGTCCTGTCCCCCACACACGCCGTCCCCCGCTGCCCCTGCTGCCCCTGCTGCGCCTGCTGTGCCCCGCCCCGCGCTGCTGCGCAGCCCGCCACCAGCGCCCGCTCCCCAGCCCACCCTCAGCCCACTCCGGCCTGCAGGCATCCACGCCCAAATCCAAATCCAAATGAGGCGGCCCCGCCGCCAAGCCCACCTGTGACGCTGCCGCGGCCGAGGTGCCCCTCTCTGCCGCCGCCGCCACTCCCCGCGGCTTTGCAAGCTGGTTGCGCAGCCTGCTCACCAGAGACGCCGAAGCCTGCTGGCCGCCTGCGGCTGACATGCTCCTGTGCTCCTTTCCGCTCATGCTCTGCCCTGGGCGCAGGAGGGCAGGCGGGCCAAGTGGGCCGCCAGCGAGGCGAGCCAGGGTGCGGCGCGCCGCGTGGAGGGCGCCGCCTCGGAGGCCACATCCCAGGCGGCCACCCCTTTCCTGGCTACGGGCGGGGAGCGGCAGGGGGACAGCGTGCCGGCCGAGGCCGCCGCCGCCACGGCGGCCCGCTCAGGCACCAGCCAGGGCAAGGAGGAGTGAGAGAGCCCATGGGGGGGCCTTTGTGCTGGTCGCCCGCCCGCAGGCGCTGGCCCGTCGCTGCCGGCTGGCGGCACCAGCGATCTGGCTGCGATGTGCTCCTAGCGCCTGCCACCTCTGCCACCCATCTTGTACATTCTTGCCCCAGGGAGCCCATTCTGCTCATGCCTTGTACATGCATACACCCATTCCTAACAGCCTGACATAATCATCAGTCGTGCATCGCCTCGCGCAGCAGCGCTGCGTGATGGGGTTGAGGCTGCAATAAGCTTGCAATAAGCGGCTGTCAGCCGCACGCTGACCTGAAGGAACCATGTAACAGAAGTAGCGCCAGCCTGGCGCCAGCCTGGCGCCACCCGGGCATGCAGCCGCCTTCTAAAAGTAAAGAACATCCAATGAGCCAAGCAATAGAAGAGCTGAAGAACAGGCGCCGGGGACCGCGCTACGCGCCCAGCTTCTGCCGCAGCGCCTGCAGGGCGTCGGGGCCTGCTGCCTCACGGCCCAGCGCTTGGGGGATCACCAGCATGCCGCGCCCGCCGCCCGCTTTCTTCCTGTGCTTGGCGGCCAGCGCCTTGGCCAGAGCCGCCTGCACAGCAGCCGCCTGAGGGTCCTGCTGCTGGCGACGCGCCGCTTTCTTCCCAGGCCCCGGCGCCGCCGGCGCCGCCGCGCGCTTGCTCTGCCGCTGCCGCCTCGCGTCCGCCGCCTGCTGCTTGGCCGCCGCCGCCACCGCCGCCCGGACGCGGCTGTCCGAGCGCTGCTGCGCCAGCGCCACGGCCTGGCTCACGGTTTGCCCCGTCTTGGGCTCCGCCGCCGCGGGCGCCACCTCGCGCGCCTCCTCCCCTCGCCGCCGCTTCCCCGCCGCTCCTGCCCCCGCACTCGGGCCCGCGCCCGCGCCTGCGCATGCGCCCGCCGCGCCGCTCCCTCCCTCTGCGCCACCTCCCTGCGGCTTCTTCCCCTTCTTGCCCTTCTTTCCACCCACCGCGGGCGCGAACGGATCCACCGCCGCCATCACCGCGGCGGCCGCCCCGCCCGTGAACCACTTTTGGCTGAACTGCGGCTGCAGCGGCTCTGCCAGCAGCGCCGCCAGCTCGGTGCGAACCTCGGCGGCAGTATCTGCAAGGTGGGGACAGCGTGCGAGGAAGGCAGTCAGTCAATCAGTCAGTCAGTCCGTCAGTCAGTCGGTCAGTCAGTTTACACCGCTGCAGCAGCCATGATGGCGCCGGGAACCGGAGCAGGTGGGAGGAACCCCAGGGCAGGTGGGGGATGTGGGGTGGGAGTCGGGGAGGCACCGGCGGCGGCCACCCCGGCCCCACTCGCCACGAGCGAGCGCCACCCCTCACACACGCAGGCAGGCGCCCCGCAGCAGGCAGCACCACGCAGCAGGCAGCACCACGCCGCAGGCAGCGCGCTGCAGCACAGGCTCTCACCTGCCTCCTCGGGCCCGCGCTTGCCGCCGCGCTCGCGCCTGGCCTTCCTGCCCTGCCGCCGCCCGGCGCCGCCGTCCTCGCCTGCGGCGGAGGGGGTGCGCAGGGTGGGGCAGCGTCATGCGCCAAAACGCGCAAACCTCCTTCGCCTCCTCCTCTTCAAGCATCCCGCCAACCCCAACCTCTCAAGCACAACCAAGGAAACCCCGACGCGCGCGCGCGCGCGCGCGCACACACACACACACACGCGCACGCGCGCACCAGACAACAGACACAACATCCAACACACAACACACAACACACAACACACAACAGATACACACACACACACAGCCGGGAACTCTCGCTCACCCTCCGACTCCTCCTCTGACAGCTCGATGCCCAGCTGCTCCGCGTGCTGCTGCCGCCACGACCGCTCCGCCTTGTCCTTGCTCTGCCGCCGCTCCAGCGCGTCGAGGCGCACTGCCAGGCGCACGCGGCGGCGCACCGCAGGCAGCAGCGACGTGTCCTGCGGCCGAGGCGCAAGCAGGGGGAAGGCTCGGCGCGCTGCAGAGCTACACGCAGCCCCAGAAACGAGTGCCAAACAAGCCTCCCTGGCCCGCCTACCCGCCAGCCAACCCCACCAGCCCGCCCACCAGCCAACCCCACCCCACACAGTCAGCCGGCAAACAACCCCCAAAACCGGCAGCAACAGAACCAGCCCAGCCTGCAACCCCAAAACCGGCAGTGCCACCACCGCCACCCCCACCACCCCACCACCCCACCACCCCACCACCCCACCCCGCCCACCAGCGGGAACTCCGGCGGCTCCCCGCGGTTCATGGCGCGCAGCAGCGCCAGGAAGCGTGCGTTCTCCTTGGGGGTGACCAGCGCCACGGCCACCCCCTCCGCCTCCGCCCGCGCCGTGCGCCCCGAGCGGTGCACGTAGACGTCCACAGAGGCGGGCAGCTGGTAGTGGATGACGCAGCTGCGGGCAGGGGGCAGGGAGGGAGGGGCGGGTGGAGGGGCGGGGGGGTAAGGAGGGTGGGGATTGAGGGAAGGGAACTGGTAGCG